CTTGAAATATAATATAAAGATTTCAAGAGGCAACTACTTGCATAAACCAAAGAAGAATATGCAGGATAGGAAATTAACACCTACGGTAAAACTCAGTTAGGAAATAGCTATGTAATGCCCTGACCCTTCTAGAAAAAGTCAGCTCTACCTACAGGACAATGTGACTTTAGAACTTACAAATTCAAGATTTTTTTCTTCTCTTCTTCAGAAGGAGAGATCTTAAAATAAGAACATTTTACACTGTTGCCTTCATGATCGGAAAAAGAATGAAAACCACCCCCTTACACAGTAGCCTTTTTGTAAAGATTGGATGAAAGCCGGGCCTTGGCAGTTTGGGATGGGAAAAAAAATTAATTGTGTACTGAGACATGAGACAGTAATAACTCACACAGACTTCACTGCTTCATGCCAGACAAAATAAAAATGAAGCCAAGTAAGGGAGAGCTGCTGATGAAACTAGTGCCATCCATTTTTTCCCCCACTAATTAGAAAGACCAGAAATAGGCAAATAAAAACCTTAGATAGAAGGTTATTCCTTCTACTTTCCCTATGGCTGATCCAGCTAATCTGAAGAAGTACAATTAATGCTCCTAGGAAATATTATTTTGGTTGGATGAGCACATAGACCTGAGCTGGGTAATCAAAGTGAGGTTCTTTGTTTAGGAAAAAAAATAATCAAAAGTGTGGTTTGTGCTAATCTGCAGAGACCTACTGTCCTATCAGAGCCAGGTAATATGGCATATTGAAGAGGAGAAAGACAACTGGGGATAGATATAGATAACATATATTAGCAAACTTTTCCTATTCAAGGATCTCTTTTCAACACATGCAGATACGCACACACACATAGTACCCTCTTGATGATATTTCAGATTTGTTATTTTTTTAACCTAAAATAGATGTTTCAGATCTGTTATTAGTACAAGAAAAATAGTAAGAAAAACAAGCTTGTAAAATCCAGATTATGTCCACGTGTTTTTAAAAACTGTACTAATAATATACATATGATCCCACTGTCTTTAGCATAGCTTTAGCTGATGAAACCCTGAAAGTGAAATCTGCCAGGAATTTGCAGTAAAATAAAACTAACTAGGCTAAACATATTGTCCTTGCTGGCAAAATGCAGCAAAAATTTATAAAATTGATCTGTTTCATTTTGAATGCAGCTGAATGAATATCTCATAATTTAAACTTCCACTCAAATTCTTGCTATTCTGTTCAAATAATTACATATTTCTAAATCCATATCTATAAATCTCCATAACATTTTATAAGATCAAGTCACAGCTTTAAATTTACTGAATAGAGGCACACTTTGTACCCAAATTTCATTTCTTCTCTTTGCAAAATATATGCATGTAGACATATTTCAAATGTGCATGGATACACACACACAGAGAAATCCATCTAGTGCTATTCAAGAACAGATGTAAATACGTTATAGTTGGATTTTTATATTACATGTACTACCCTCAATGAGACAGAATTCTTTCATCTGCAGTCAAGATCCATGAAGAGGCATAAAAGATTCCTAAAATGACTAGTACCAGTACTGTGTATGTCTGTACTGAATTAAAAAAGCAAAACATTAGAAACTTGTTTTGAAAAATAATCCTATAAGACATGTAATATATTTCTAAAGGGATGGCAGTACAGATATATTTATTTTTGAGATGTTCCTAATATTTCCTTGAGTACTTATCTTACGAATGTAATCAAATTACTACTTACAAGGAAACATCGTATCTTTGGTTCTTTCCTGAAATACTTCTTGAAGTATATTTTGAAGGTAAATGTAGTGGAGTTTAACCTGTGGTCTCAGTTAAGAATTATAAACTGGCATTCATATGTCTCACTTAGAACCATTACACAGATCCAACATTTTTAGTGTTTCTTCAATGATGACTTTTTAGTAATCTAAGTTCCTTCCAACTCGTGCTGAAAAGCATTCAGTGAGCTGTTGAAAAATAACGAGCTTCTAGGAAGCACTTTACAACCTCCTTAGGGGGCTGCAGAGAGTTAGATAATCAAAAGGTAATCAGGTGGAAAAAAGTTTCTAAATTTCTAAAATACAAATTTACATGATAGAGAAGGAAATATTGGAATGTTGCTTTTAAATATCTTAAGGGAAAAATGAGCATTCAACGCAATTCTGACCAAAAAATTTTGATACTCAGTATATAAATAAAATCTCATTACTTGTGACTTCTAAGGTACATACTTCTAAGGAGATCATAAAATAATACATTTTTAACCAGGCTAGGTCTCCATTTCTCATCTTTGTAGGTACCTGAATCCATACATTTGTGTACCTGTAACTTAGAGACATTAGCTATCTATTCATGAGCTCAGAGCTCTCCCTCAGCAGTTCTATGAATGGGCTTAGGCTACAGAGTGGCAGTTTTGCAGAGTTGGCATTTGGCTTTCCATAAATAACTTTTGCTTGTGTCACAGTTTCAACTGGAGATTCTTTGATCACATCAGATCGGAATATAGTCCTGACAGATACGATGTATAAATCAGTATTTCACAAAATGGCCTGCATTTCCTGAAGAAAATATAAATATTACTGTTGGCAACTGGTATAAACTCCACTGAATATGCCTTCAGGCATGCCCTACAGAAACCTTAAGAATATTTATTTAAATGTTGCTATTTCCCTGTCAATTAAGTTTTTCATTTGTATGTTTTAGCAAAGCCTGTAAAATCTTACTGCAGCCATCTGAAGCCTTTGAATGAATGTTTAAATGTCCTTTTGGCAGTGTTCACTGAGGTCTCATTTCACTACATTTGAAAACCTGACAGGATATACAAAAATGAGGTTCCATGTTGTTTATTACTTTCGCTTTTAAATAAGCCAGTTAAAAAAAGTCTTACACCAGAACCCCATCTTTTAGGTACCCCGTCAGTGTCTGCTATTTCCAGTTTCTATAAGGTGAAAAGATTTTCTTAAAGCTTTCTGCAGCTGCAGCATTTCTAAGCAAGCAGAAGAGCAAACAAAGGTGCAAACAGAGAAATTTTATGAGCACCACAGTCCCTGGCTGTGTAATTAACTGGAAATACTTCTGAGCTTCAGGGACACCTGTTGCATTCTCCTCGGGTACTGCTGTTTCCATTAGTTTTCAAAATAGAAAGAGATGGTCAGCGGTCTCTGTGTCAAGTGGCACAAAGTTTCTTAATGCCAGGACTAGATTTTGTGCTTGTCTTGCAGCACTGTGTGCACTATAGAGATGACACAGCAGGAAAGCTGCCGTGGTAGAGGATGACCAGGCTTTCCTATGGCATGGGAGGAAGCAACATGGTAGAGACAGGTCCTGCGTGTCCAGATGTGTGATGGGGGAAGAAGTCCCACTCTGTGAGAGTACCAGCTGAGGCTGAATGAGAAGACAGCAAAAGAGGAAGAGATAAAAGATCAGTCCTATGAAGGGTGAGGGCCCAGAAGGCATGTAGCTGTGTTAGTACTGTTTGCTTTTTTTTTTTTTTTTTGACACTTCCTTTTGTAAGTAATGCTGCCAAAGGAAACATTTGTGAGGTAAAAAGATAAAAGAGGTGTAAAGGCAGTAGTGATTGATGCCCAAGTTAGCACCATCATTCCTCCAAGTAGTCTGGTAAGCTTTTCAGTAACCAACCAACACAGTTTAACATTTGGTACCAACGTTTCAACCAGCATAGCATTCTTAATACTACACTGGGACCTCACTAATACTGAGAGAAGATTTGGACACAGGGATCCCCAACTTAAAATAATAGAAGGGAGAGTTTCACTTCCTGATTTCAGGAAACTTCCTGCTATTTCTATCTTGGAAAGAACAAACTTAGCTGTTTTACAGTGTATAACGTATTCAGTCCATATGCTCAGGGTAGACACAATTTTTAACAACACTGTCTAGACTTCAAATGGCTTTATTCGAGCATTCATAACAATGCAGAGATAAAGGATCTTACCTTTATCTACCAGGCACTCCTTATCTACACACTGCTTTAGACCATTGTAGCTGTGACAGCACAATTAGCAGAATATTTTAATTCAGAGAATACAATTTAATCTTCCCATGCCAAATCATCTTTGCTCAAAACTTCTCAGGAAATTTAGCTTGATACAGGCATCTGCTATTTCAGGCCTAACAAAGACTTGGCAAACAGAAGAAAACTGTGTGTTTTAAGAGAAAGTTCTACCTAATTTTAAATCAAGACAATGTTATCAACCATGGCTTTCTAAGCATTTGAAAAAGACAGAGTATCACAATCCTTTGAAACAAAAAAATACACAAAATTTGGAAAGGTGGAAAAATTTATGCAGCAACACTATTTTTAAAGGACATGTCCAAATAAACAACCATAACTTCAAACATACCAAGACTTACACCATATCCTAGATCGTGAGATATTATTTCTGTTATGAACAATATTTGACATCTAGTGAAAGGACAGAAATTCCATTTCACATGAAAATAGAGCACAAATGTAAGAAGGAACTATTATTAGCCAAGCCTCCAGAGCAATATGAAGAACAGTTTGGAACGATGATCTAATTAATCTACACAGATATCACCTTCTGAAGAGCATATCTACCAAAAAAGTTGCTAGGGCACTCCTGTATAGGAAACACTCATGAGTTTAGTAATAATCCCAGGTGATTGATAAGCTAAGGAAATATTGCAGCTCCTTGATATTTCAGCTAACACATTTCCACAGGTGTGTCTGTGTTGGAGAGGACATGAGCAGCTTTGTGTATATCACAGCAAATGGCACAGACCATTCCTTACTGTATTCAGCTGTGCCGAAATGGGTATCTGTCATGGAGATTCAGAGACATACAAGAAACACTTCTTACATTATGTTCTCTTGTCTTATATTAGCACTCAGCTGGTAGGATTAATTCTGTATGTTTACAATTAGTAGAAACTCAGAACCAGGTATTTCTGTCCGAATATGTCTAGCAAAACTGAAGTATATCATTAAAGGATGATCATTTTGCCAAATTCTTGTCATTTTTTCAGGATTCTTGAATTCTGTGGGAAAGGAAAAGTCCAAGATTTCTACGAGATGGAACATTTTATGCAGCTTTTTTCAGTTGATTTTAAAATGTTCTGTTATAAAACAAAATGAAAAAAACCCCAACATGGTAAATAGAATTTTTCTATTTTCCATAATTCCATAATTCTCAAGTAACAACCTGAATCTTCTTTCTTGACAATGTACTACATTCAGTCAGAATTAAACAGAATTTGAAATCCTTTGAAAAAATCAAACACTTTTGTACACATAAATTAAATTGATCTATCTATATAATATATATGTAACTATACATAATTTAGCAAATTGAAATTTACGGCCTCCATCTTTGAGTATTATGAGAAGAAAGGTACTTTTTTTCTATCTCCTAGCTAGGAAGAGACAGGTTGGCCTTTAAGCCTCTGTGTTAGGTACTCTGTTGTGAATCAATTCCCCATGGGTTGGTTCCCTGGGGAGGAAAAAAAGATCCCTTGTGCCCATTCAGACCTAAACAGTAGCCACTGAGAGTGTCTCTTGGAAGTGCATATAACTCATGGAGTGGGAAATCTGCCTTTGCCACCCTTGTAGAGATAAGAAGGCTGCAAGGGGGGAATAAAAAACACAAGAGCATCCATATCACCATCAGGACTTGTGTGAGAGGCACGGAGATGCTGCAGCCACTAGCACAGGTCGACAACTCTATGCCTCACAATTTGATGTGTCTTTCATGCTCCCCAGTCAGCTCATCCACACAGAATCTGAATATTTGGGCCAAACATTTCCAAGAGGTGAGTACTCAAATTCTGTGCACCTGCCTGAGGCCTCACTCAGTGTGTATTGGAGCCAGCACTCTGCAAAGGCACCACACTGCATGTGGTCAGTGGGCGTTGCACACCTTCGTTTGGCCAGCAAAGAAGTCCCTGTCCTTAAAATATCTTTAAAAAATGTGAATCTGCTTGCTTTGTCATAGTTGTGATATAAATTGAAATTGCTACAAGCCAAGTACATTCTGAGCTGGAATTTCAACACCTCACTTATCTCAAGCAAAATGTAATATTGGCAGCTAAAAAACAAACATATGCCAATTCAAATAGACTGTAGAAATAATGTTCTGAAACACAAACACCTTTTGACAGTTTAGGGAGTCTGGGCAGAGCTGCTAGCGACAAGTACAGCTGGGCTGCCCAATGTCTACCATTATCAGATACTGTTTTAAGTAATTTATAAAGCTTTGCCAACCTTTAACTGTTTGGGCTGAACTTTCCCAGACAAGGTATCTGTCTCAGGCTGACTTATTTTGGAAAGTTTCATTGAAACGGTTCAATCATTTCCAAATAATTTAGAGAAAAGTGCAATATTACGTTCCTGCTAAAACAGAAATTAGAACTGCTGAGTTCTAAGATACCTGTACTCGGAAAGGGAACATCAAAACAGCGTCCGCATCCAGGACATGCCTTTTGCTGGTTCTGAAAAAATCCAGATACATTTTTTCATGACATAAACTTCTTAAAATTTTAGTTTGTTTTGTGCTTTGTAGATACTTGCTCTAAACTAGTAGCTGAACTCCTGTGAGATCTCATTTTCACAGAGCACAATGCCACCCTCATCCCCTCCTCCAGCACAGCTGTGGCTGACTGCATGGGGAGGAAACTTCATCTATAACTAGAGCTCTGGTTAATTCAGGGTATAGAGATCAAAGACAACATTTTTCAGTCAGTCTCAAGGTGGGCAGCCACTAAGTTTCTATCCCACTGAGAGCTCTGCAACAACCTCACTGGTCTTAAATGAAAAAAACATATGGGGAAGCTTCATAAGAATTTCAATCAGGTCCACTCTCAGCAGATCTCTATGGAGGAAAGACTACACAGACATATGCAGATGAAGCCAATCACTTTACTTATACACTGTATTACCCAAACAGGTATCAGTACTAAGGAATAGAGGTGGATTAGCACAGTGATGTGCCTGAGCATGGGCCCAGAATGATGCTAATGTTAAAGTATATACATGGTTCCCAGGTCAGAAGTTGCTTGTATGTGTCCAACTTGAAGCATGAAGAGAGGAATTCAAGAATTCTTTTATACAACCATATGTACCTATATTTCACATCATGTCTCCACACCCCACACTGTGTGTGAGTGTGGAAGTGACTTGAACATAGCTCGGTAAGGATATTTGGTGACCTAGAAGTTGAAAGAGTCTTTAGCCATTGTATTTGAAACAGAAGTAGTTCAAATTAATTGTACTACACACTGAAGGAGACATTTTAGATTGTTTTTGTGGCAGCATTGAAAAAAATAATCTTTCCTCATTTGAAGGTTAATCTTTATTGAATGTTCTTCTCTTTCCTAAATGATTTGTGTTCATCTGACTTGTGATATTCTTCTTTTATTGAAGCATCAATGTAATTCTGATTTTTTTTCGGTATACAAAAATGCTCCAATTCAGCCACAATTTATTATGTGTGGATCAGATATGCCTGGATTGGGTTCTGTGATTTACTATGCTGGTACCAAATTAGACATTTCTCAGGGTTTCCTGCCAGTTTCAAAATGAATGACTCTGAAATTGTTCTCCAGTTTTATTTCGAAAAAAGATGAGTGAAACCAGTGAGATACCATCTTGCAAAGTGTGTGAGAAAGGTTTGACTTCTGTGGCACCTTCTCTCTGTAGATCATAAAGAACCTCTCTAAAATCATCTAGTGTGGCCTCCATTCTTTTCTTACAAGAATAATTATAATAAATCTTCTTTGAAGATCCATGCAAAGACAATACGAGGTCTTATCTCTTGGTTACTACCACTGTCACCACACTACCATTCCCCTGAAAAATGTAAATCTAGTGATTTACAAGACAGTAAAAATGTGGATTTATTGTGCACATCATAGCTCTGCTGTAACGGTAGTTGTCTAGTAAAAGTGTGAGATTATTTGGTATAGCACGGCACAGCATGACAGGTAGTAATTTATGTCAAATGGCATTAGATGGAAGAGGTCAAACTTAAAATTTTGCTTCTAGAGTCTGTTTTGCTATTTAATTAATACTTGAGACAGGTAGGACCTGCAAATGCGTGACTGTTCTGGTCTAGTACAAAACCAGAAATAAACAGGTTTCAGGGACTGTTAGTAGGGGACACATGATCTGGATGTGTTTGAAGGTGTTGTTTGGAGGTATCACTTGCTTCAGCATTCATTCACATAACTAAATCACAGGCTCTATGGTGTTGATGAACCTCATTTATACAAGTTCATAAAACTGCAGATTTTTTGGTACTGATTGCTGGTTTGAAGTTGTTCTCAGGGAGAAGAATCAGAAAAGGGAGAAAAAGGAGAGAAAAAGTTCAGCTAACTGGTTCACAACTGAAGGGCAAGCTAGGCATAAGGGGACAGAGACATCTCTGTGTCTTAGTTTTCTCTAGTGAGCTGAAGAGCTAGAGATGTGTATAAGGAATGGAAACTATTTGTAGACCACTCCAAAGAAAACCAATAAAGGAGAAAAGACCCTCAGCCCTTTCTTTAGGTGGATCCTCTGCCAAATCCCACATTGATGTAAGCAGACTGAGAAAATGTAGATGTATTCTGCTACTTAAAGAAGAAGAGAACTTTAGAAGACTTGGCTATAATACAGTCCCTGTACTGCAAATAACTGAGGAGAACAGGGTACATGCAGGATTCACATGAGCTGCTGGGATCAACAGCTACTGGGAAACCTTTGCCAATGTCTTAAAAAGGAAACCTGATCGTGTTGCAGAGGCACCACTTACTCTGTACTGCTTTGTGTTGTGCAGCTGGAGTCCAGGCCAAGTCTTTTAAAACAGAACTACAACCTTTGTAAAAATTCAATGTCAGCATTATAGAGAAAAGACCGAAGTATTAGCTTTGCAGGGTCTGTGCAGAGCAGGACCCCCCTCTCATCTGAAAAGCAGCTTATCCCTGGAGGAGAAGACACCAAGTGGTTTGGTTTTTAGCCTAACATTCCCCCTCAGTTACTCTCTTTTGAGAGATTCCATGCAATCTCTATTTTCTCCAAGGAGATCCCAAGGTTTAGCACCTGCTTCATCTACCCAGACCACCAACACAGCCAATCTCTGCTGTGTCTGCTCCAAGCTACATATCAAATACTCAGGACATTCTTCCAAGACATGAACTGGCATTTTCCTGGGTATAGGAGCATGGTAGGAAAGAAATCTCAACTTTAAAAACATTGTTTTTCCCTAACCATATTAAGACACACAGAGTGTCATATTAGGAACCCACAGTAAAGAAACGGTAAGGACAACCTTTTGCCTTAGGTGCAGTATATGTAGGACCACAGCATTGCTCATGCTGCTCTCATCATTCCTACCAACATTTTGAGATCTTCTTTAGTTTTCAACAGACATAAGGGACTTTTATAGGGTCTAATTTTGAAAAAAAAAAAAGAGCTATGTGCTTATATGAAGCAGTTGCTCTAGCCTTCCTCCAGTCATCACAGTGCTTCAGCATGTTTGGATTTGAACAGCTTCATGATAAGCAAAGGCTTCAGTGCATTTATGGAACAGAAGTCTTATAACTTAAGCACGGTACAAGGTTTAAAAATCTGTCTGATATGCAAGTAGTATAGCTATATCAAAGAAAACTGCAATGACTGCACAGGATAAGCACCAATTGAAAATTGAGATTTTATAGATATTGCTTAAAAAGAAAAAAGTGAAGTAGTTTCTTAAAAGTTAGGCACAATACAGTCAAGAGAGATATATATCAAGTTCCTAGTAGCTGACCCTTTTATTTTCCATGACTATGCTGGCAGCAAAAAAAACCCCAAAAAAGAAAGAAGAAATACCCTGGTATATTTCTTCTGAGTAACAAGAAAGTGTTCCATCCCACAGAGCCCAAATTCACTGGTGAGGAATTGACAAACTGAAGGAACCAACACTAATCAGAAAAAGCATGCAGATTTGTGCTAAAGAGCTTCATAAGTAACTTAATGGGTGAATTATTTATCCAAAATTTAATCTCTCATGCCCTTACAAGAGTAACGGTCTTAATAAAACTGTTGTGCATATCAAAAACAAGCTCACACTAAAAAAAATAATGTTATA